CATGACCAAGTGGGCTTTATCCCAGGAATGCAAGGATTCTTTAATATCCGCAAATCAATCAATGTAATACACCACATTAACAAATTGAAAGATAAAAACCATATGATTATCTCAATAGATGCAGAAAAAGCCTTTGACAAAATTCAACATCCATTTGTGATAAACTCTCCAGAAAGCGGAATAGAAGGAACATACCTCAACATAATAAAAGCTATATATGACAAACCCACAGCAAACATTACCCTCAATGGTGTAAAATTGAAAGCGTTTCCCATAAAATCTGACAAGGACTTTACTCTTGAGAATCCCTCTCTGTTCTTTTTTTAAACTTAGGACTATATCTTTTTTTTCAATGAATTTATTTATTTATTTATGGCTGTGCTGGGTCTTAGTTGCTGCTTTTCTGTAGTTGCAGTGAGGTGCTGGTTACTCTCTAATTGTGGTGCGTGGGCTTCTCATTGAGGTGGCTTCTCTTGTTGTGGAGTTTGGGCTCTAGGGCATGCAGGCTTCACTAGTTGTGGCTCCTTGGCTCTAGAGCCCAGGCTCAGTATGTGGTGCACAAGCTTACCTGTTTTATGGCATGTAGGATCTTCCTGGGCCAGGGATCGATCCCGTGTCTCCTGCATTGCCAGGTGGATTCTTTACCGCCAAGCCACCAGGGAAACCCTCTCTCTGCTTTTTTTATGAAAGAGTTTGAATTCTGTGTTCTCACTCAAACTGTGACCTTTACAGAGCCCCATTGGTTAGTTTGGGTTTCCCCGTGATGTGCCTTTTCCTACATTTAGGTCTTAACCTGGAATACACTCAATAAAATTTTGTCTGTTTTTCAAGGCTGAGTTCAAGAACCACCCACTCTGAGTTGTCTTCCTGGATTTTCTCAGCCCAAAGTAATCCTTCTTTTTCTGAGGTAAGTCATAAATCTTGTTGTTGTTCAGTTGCTAAGTCATGTCCAACTCTGTGACCCCATGGACTGCAGCATGCCAGGCCTCCCTGTCCATCACCATCTCTTGGAGTTTGCCCAAGTTCATGTCCATTGAATCGGTAATGCCATCCAACCATTTCATCCTCTGTCACCCCCTTCTCCTGCCCTCAATCTTCCCCAGCATCAGGGTCTTTTCCAGTGAGTCAGCTCTTCACATCAGGTGGCCAAAGTATTAGATCTTCAGCTTGAGCATCAGTCCTTCCAATGAATATTCAGGGTTGATTTCCTTTGGGATTGACTAAATCGATCTCCTTGCTGTCCAAGGGATTCTCATAGCTCTTAGTTTATTTGTTTTATTTAGACCCCATTCACTGTTTTACAGTCATACTCATTGCTTTGTGCTTATTTGGCTTTGTTTGTTTTGGGCCATGCCACGGCATGTGGGATCTTAGTTCCCCTGCCAGGGAAGTCTCTGTACTTGTTCATATTCATGCCTTATATCCTCTACCTGATTTTAAATTCCTTGAGGGAAGGTACTTAGGTTGTTCAGCTTTAAATGAATAATTTTCTTTCTCATCATCAGATAGAAAAGAGGTTCAACAGTGAGGTAAGTTGATAAATTCCCCAGTGTACTTGGAATCTAATCTTGAGTTTCTCGTGTTTCTAGTGAGGACTTTTCCTGTGAAATACTAGAGTCATTTCCTTTGTCCCCAGCAATCTCCTTTGTAACTTAAAGCCTGTTTTCTATGATTTTCTTTGCCATAGTGTTGATGGAGCTACTTCCACCAGGGGGAGCTCCTTACTCTATCTAGGTCAATTTCTTTTTCTTTATAGAGGCAAAGGAAAGGAGACTTCATCAGGCAAAATACTGAAGCAATGGGAATACAAACAATAGGAAGTAGGAACTTGGGACTTTCGACTTGATTTTGTTCCAGCACCTGTTGACCCAAATACCATTTCACTTGTCATATTGGATTTTGGTATGATTCCGGCCCATGTGTAAAGATTTCCCTCTCCCCAGTCATTTATTTCATCTACAGATATATATTAATCATGTACTTTCTGTCAAGTATTGTAGATGCTGAGCTTCGTCTGTGAACAAAACCTACCGAGTCTCTGACCTCATGGAACTCGTGAGGTGGAATCAGGTGGGTAACACATAATATGTAAGATAGATAGATACAAAGATGGGGATGAGTGCTAAAGGGGAAAAACAATGCAAGGTCTAATAGGCCATTGTAAGAACTTTGATTTTTACTATAAATGAGATGGGAAGCATTGGGGAGTTTTGAGTGGGAATGGTGTGATCTGACATGTTTTAAAAGGATCACTATTGTTTTCTATATAATACATTATATATAAGAGGATAAGCTTGGGCCAGACTGCTAACAGTGAAATTTGGGAGAAGTTGCTGGATTTGGGGGTGCATCTTGAAGTTGAATTTGCTGGCAGATCAGATGTGGGATGTGAAAGAGGAATCAAGGAAAACAGAGTCACCATGTTGCATAACACCAATAGCATTGTCTAAAATGTGGCTGGTGCTCTCTGGAGTGATATAACACAGTGTTTCTGTTTGAGACAATGCCAAGATTTTCATCCTGAGCAGCCGAAATGATGGAGTTACCACTAACTGCAGTGGTAAAGACTGTGGGAAAAACAGGGTTGGGAGTGTAAAAGAAGTTAAATTGAGGATGTGTTGAATTTGAGATGCCAGTCAGACATCTAAGTGGAGTTGATGAGTGAGCTGTGGGGTACAAGAGCATGGCACTCACAGGTGTGGTTAGGGCAGGAGATAAATGTTCTGAAGTCACAGATGTCTAGATAGTATTTCAAGCTCTGAGATGGATGAAATCTCCAAGAGTGAGGATAGTTAAGAGGAGGGGACCATGAGTACCCCTACCCTGGGGTACTCTGACAGCCAGAGATTAGGAGGATGATGATGAGGAACCGGCAAAGGAGACTGACAAGGAGTGGCCAGTAAGGTGGAAGGAAAACCAGAAGAATGTAGTGCACCCGAAGCCTCGTGAAGAAGGTGCTTCCAGGAAGAGGGGATGATCAACTGTGATAAGTGCTTCTGGTTGGCCAGGCAAGGTGAGAGCCCAGAATATTCTATGGACTCTCACAACATAGAGGCCCCTAGTGACCTGGATAAAAGCCTTTTCAGTGGACGAAAGCTTGTTGGGAGTGGGGCCAAGGAAGAAGGGGAGGAGAAAAATTGTACATGGGGAATATAGACAAATATTTTGAAGAATTTTGCTGTCAAGAAGAGGAGAGAGATGAGGCAGTAACTGGTACGGTGTGTGGGAGGGTCAAGAGAAAGTATCAGAATAGGAGAAAATAGAGTCCAGAAATAAACCCACACACCTATGGTCAATTAATCTACAACAAAGGAGGCAAGAAAATATACTGGGGAAAAAACAGTTTCTTCAGCAAGTGGTGCTGGGAAAGCTGGCCAGCTACATGCAGAACAATGAAGTCAGAACACACCCTCACACCACAGACAAAAATAAACTCACGGTGGGAGGAATAATGAAACGTTTGCCCCAGGAGTACTCACCAGTCGTTGGAGTTCACTAGTCCTTAGTCACATACGTTTCTGGTAATTCTCAGAGAAGCAAGGTGTTGAGGGAGGGAAAATTGCCAGCAGGTTTGACTGGAACAAGCTCTAAGGAAACCCGTGGACAGCCTTTAATAAAACTGGACTGAGAACCTCCACAGTTAGGAAAGGGGAGAGTATCTCCACGTGTGGAAACAAACAGTTGGGGTCATGAGCTATAGCTGGCCCCCTGATCTATTGGGTGATTCTAGCCTCCTGTGCCAACCTTGGCGGATCTGGCCTCCATTATACTGAAGACAGCCTGTACATCTACCTCCAGAAACATTATCTATTATTATTTACAGAAGGGAGAGGAAAATAAATTCTTGTAGATGCTGTGAACATGACAAAACCCCAGGTGGGGTGTGAACCAAGTAGGAAAACTGACATAAAAATTCAGGTCACAGTACCACAGTATCACTAATACCTTTGACTGTGTGGATCACGACAAACTGTGGAAAATTCTTCAAGAGATGGGAATACCAGACTACCTAACCTGCCTCCTGAGAAATCTGTATGCAGGTCAAGAAGTAACAGTTAGAATTGGACATGGAACAACAGACTGGTTCCAGATAGGGAAAGGAGTACTCAAGGCTGTATATTGTCACCCTACTTATTTAACTTATATGCAGATTACATCATGCAATATGCCAGGCTGGATGAAGCACAAGCTGGAATCAAGATTGCTGAGAGAAATAGAAATCACCTCAGATACACAGATGATGTTACCGTTACGGCAGAAAGCGAAGAAGAACTAAAGAGCAAAGAGCTTCTTGATGAAAGTGAAAGAGGATAGTGAAAAAGTTGGCTTAAAATTCAGAAAACTAAGATCATGGCATCCAGTCCCATCACATCATGGCAAATAGATGGGGAAACAATGGAAACAGTGAGAGACTTTCTTTTCTTGGGCTCCAAAATCACTGCAGATGGTGACTGCAGCCATGTTGGCATCACTGACTTGATGGACGTGAGTTTGAGTAGGCTCCGGGAGTTGGTGATGGACAGGGAAGCCTGGCATAATGCAGTCTGTGGGGTCACAACGAGTCAGACACGACTGAGCGACTAAACTGACCACTAATGATGTCCTTATTCCTTGGCCAGAAGTGGACTTGGCAGCAGAACCCCATGTCTAGCTGGGCTCAATTCTTAGCTGTGTATACTAGGAGTGATGGCTTTGAGAACACGTACAAGTTTCACTGATCACCAGTCACCATGTTCTTTTTTTGTATTTGAACTTGTTTCCCAGTCTCATGTCTTCAAGGCCCAGCTCAAGTGTCACTTGTTCTGCAGAACCTTCTGTGAGCCCCATCTCAGGCAAAATGCATCATTTCCTTCCCTGAGTTTCCAGACCACTTTTTCTCTCTCTCTCTTCTCACATCTGTAACACTGAGGTGTGTGTGGCTGTGAATGGAAGAGATGGCAGAGTACAGTGGATAAGAACACAGGCTTTGGAGCAAGGATGCTTGGGTTTATATGTATAATATTCATGAGATCTTTAGTTGCGGCATGTGGGATATAGTTTCCTGACCAGGGATTGAACTCAGGCCCCCTGCATTGGGAGCGTTGAATCTTAGCCACTGGACCACCAGGGAAGTCCTGGCTGTATCTCCTTGTGCCTCAGTTTCTCCTCTGTCTCATCTGAATAGAATAGTAGTAAGATGAAAGAAGTTAATACATGTGAAGTACTTAGAACAGTGCCCAGTGTGTAGTAAGTGCTCAGTAAGCTTTAAAAAATATTTTCATGGGAGTAGAGTTGATTTACAATGTGGTGTTACTTTTAGGTGTACAGTAGTATAAGCTTTTGTTATTTGTCTCTCTTCTCCTTGAGGAATAAGACCGTGCCCTTTTGTTAGCACTGGGATTGGCACAGAGTGCTAGGTGCTTAATATATATTTGGGTGACTCAAGAGGTTTCTAAATCAAATCCAAGTTCGCATTTAACAGTTTCATATGTGTATGTCCCTTTCATTAGCTCACTTATTTATTGCTGTGTACCACTCTGTGTAGTGGTTAAAAATGAAGGTTCTAGAACCTGATGCCCTGGTCTGTGTTGTTGCTTAGTCACTTACTAGCTTGTTAGCCTCTATTGCCTCAGATTCCTCATCTGGAAAATGAGAAAAAAATATAGGAAGTTAAATAGTTACTGAACATTCAAGTGTTAACTATATCTATTTCTAATCTTATTAATTAAGTGACTTAATATACACCTCTGATGTTCTATGGACTGTGTTGGACAGTAGAGTTGCAGAAATGAATAAGGCTTGGTTCCTGCTCTAAGAAAACCCCTCTGCTAGGGAAGGCAGCAAGTCAGTAGGTATAGAGCCTAGCAGAAGAAGGGAGCAACTTTTTGAGAGGGACCAGTGAGGGGAAAAGGGAGGGTCATTAGGTTTTTTTAGGGTTTTCCCTGGTGGCTTAGTGGCACAGAATCTGCCAGCAATGCAGGAGATGTGGATTTCATCCCTGGGTCGGGAAGATCCTCTGGAGTAGGAAATGGCAACAAACTCCAGTATTCTTGCCTGGAGAATCCCATGGACGGAGGAGCCTAGTGGGCTGCAGTCCATAGGGTAGCAAAGAGTCAGACATGACTGAGTGAATGAGCACTCATGCAAGGCTTTTTGGAGCAGGTACATCCTGAGCTTTGAATCTATGGGTTGCGGATCCTGGAATAAGAATGTCATATAGGTATCAAAATCCTTTTTGTGGTTCATTGGAAATGAATTTTAGAACAGACATCTCTCATCGATTTCCTGAATAAGACCCCTTCATGAGAGGTCCCACCCTCTATTTTGAAACTGAGAGAAACTGTTCTGGGCCAACAACAACGCATCGTCAGGCCAACCTAAGTGCCCCAAAAATGGTTTTGAACAGTTTTCCTTGAGCAAAACTCCTCTTTCCTTTTGTCGTTAAGCCAGAGAGCTGTCACGGGCAGAGGAGTACATTCCACGGGCCTGTGTCCTGCCCTCCCCCTCCCTCCCAGTGGATTTTCTGAAAAGGTTGGCACTCTCTTCCCTTTGTCACCCCCACCATCAGGTGACAGGCAAAGCAGAGAGAAGCATGTTTTCTAAGAAATGGCCAGGACCCTGTTCTCACTCACACCTCTCATAGAGACCTCTCCAAGATGGTGGGATGGGGCTATAGTAACATTTTTGAGATCAAAGACAGGGTAGGGGTAGATGAAAATGTTGGTCTTTTTTCTCTCAGAAAACCAATAAAGCCAGTGACGCTTGTCTATATTCCCCGAGTAGTTCATAAGAACAATAGAATTCAGAGTTCCTGGTGTTCCTCTAGAGCTGATTTTGGCAAGTGATAAGCAGCTTATAAAAGGGCTTATTATTGAGTAGAGCTTTGGCTGCCTGACTTTTAAGGTTGGTTATTTATTTTGCATGTTGTATAACAGGAGCGTTGGGCAATGCTCAGAAGAGGCCTTCTGGGTCAGGGAGTAAGGGCTTCTCTGTCTCCTCTTGCCAGAAGCAGATTCCAGTGCAGAGTATGAACCCAAGCCATGGCTTTCCTGCAACCTCTAATCACCAGACAGGCCTTCTCCTTAGGGGTT